TTTATTTTAATTATTAAATTGTTCTTATCTCAGCCCATGGGTTCTACCTTTTTTCCCCATTTCTCCTCCCCATCCCACTGTGGGAAGGGGTGGGTTTGTGAGCAAAGGGCTCACAAGCAAGGGGCTTAGTTGCTGACTGGGGTTAAACCATGACAGAGGTCTTGAATCTTTTCCAGACCAGATGGGCTGCTGGTAGTGGAGGGTGCTTTCAGTGTGTGCTCTGATGTAGGTAATGTGTTGGTTGGCTGCCTCAAGATGTGCTGCCTGTGGTTTATCACCTTGTAGCCCATAAGCAGCAGTTGCACTAAATGAACAATTTCTTTTCCTTTGTTTTCTTCTGGAAGAAAGATTGTGATTGCCTAGCATGCTGCAAAAGGTGGGCTCTAAAGGGCCTAAATCTGCTTATAAACAAGGCTGGGAGCATTGATTTTTGGAATATTTGAAGGCAGTAGAAAGGTTAAGAGAGCAGAGCCACATCTAACTACAGACAGATGAGCACTGGAGCCCCAGCTGGGATGCATGGCAGGAGGCAGGTGATGGTATTTTGTGGGCTTACCCAATCCTGGAACAAATTACTAGAGCTGGTTACAGTAGCTGCCCTACACTGAATGGCAGCAGCTACTCTCGGATGATGTTACAGGGAGATGAGTTAGCTTGACTGCAAGATAAAGCCTCTGTAGAGCAGATGAGAACTGCATTGTGCACAAAACAGCAGTCTGGAATGGTATTTTAGACCCCTTTCTTGGCTTGTGGCTAGATGGGAACATAGCCACAATCCTAGAGAGCTTCTAGGCTGCTGAGTAACTTGGGTTGGACATATACTGCTTTTAATACATCCATGTGCAGAATTTGTCCATCCAGAAACGAGGAGATGCTGGTCAGAGCCTGAGAAAGTGATAAAGAAGCATCTTCAGGGGCATAGTAAACCACTAGCCAAACTTCCAAGTACAATACAGGAATAAAGGAACGTTTCAGAAATAGCTGAGTGCAGCATCAGTTAGATGGATACAGGATACTGCATGTAGCTCTAGGTTTTTTAGATCTTCAGAAACTTTCAGTGAGAGAAAGGAGGAACTCTAGATGCAAGTGGAGATGTGGCTTTGGGATCATAAGAGTAAGACCACTGTTGGATCAAAAATATACCTTGATCTTCAACAGGGAAGGTTCTGGGATCTCAAAGAGCTTTAAACTAGAAGAAACCAATACATTTAAAAACTCTTTAGACCTTACATTGCTCTCTTGAAGCTGAAATAAGTCAAAAACAAACTTAGGTTTTGAAAAGCTGATGGTTACTGAAGGGACAAATCAGCAGAGTTTTGTTTTCAGCTCAAGCCTGGGTGCTTCTCTGAAGCTATGCTTTCCATGGCCTGAGGGTTTGGAGTAGTAGGTGAAACCAAATGGCCAGTCTTCTGTGGGAAGCTGAACTATAGAACTGTAGAACTATAGAAGATCCAGAGGTACTGAACTTAAATTTCTGAAACTCTGGTTTTATTCTTGAGGAGAATTGGTTTTGGTTGCTTTGCCAGTAGCCTTATAAAAATATTTCTTCCAACTTCCCCTATACTAATGCTGTTTATTGCTGGGGAACCACAAGGGAACTTGGGTGGTGTTCCAGCTTATCTTTGGACAAACCTGTCCTGACCAAACTGATGCAACAGTCCACGCCTGACAGAACTAGGTCTCCCATGTTAATGCAACATATGATGCAATTTCTCTGTCTCTGTAGGTGGCAAAGAGGAGCAGCTGGCTCCTCCTGAGAACTGTGCTTGCCAAAATGGCTCTGCAGGCCTAACCCAAGTGAGCAGGGGATAGAATTTGAAAGGGCTTAACAGAGAATGAAATGCTTTGTGGAAGATTAAAAACATTGGAACTAAACTTAGGAGCATAAGAGTTTAATGATTCGGCTGTTCCAAAGAAGGGATCTGAGTTCTCCTTGATTTACAGGGGAAAGGAAATTTTATTCTGACATCAGTATCAGAAAAAAAACACTTTGCTGGTTTATTTGCAGCTTCTATTTTTCTCTCCATACAGAGCCTGCTATCGAAGACAGCTTTTCCTTCATCTGGGACAAAGGTCCCATCCAAAGGCTTCAGACATCTGAGATTTACTCCTGGTGCTGAGTCAGATGACTCTGCCCAAGCGTCTCTTGTCAACATTAATCCCTTTACACCAGAGTCATATCGACAAATGCTCTTTCTTCCTAATGGCAAGCGGAAGGCCAGAGAAGAGCTGTAAGTGAGCTACTCTTAACTAACAGACTGGAGGCACAGTGAAGGAGATAAATCCAGATACTAAATGTCTCCATTACTTATTTGCTAACAATGAATCATTCACTTCTGTGTTATTCATTGGTGTAGAGCAAACATTAGCAGACATATGAAGGTAACAGAAATATAAAGAAAAATCAATCATTTCCTTTGTTCAGAAATGCAAGTGGGGGATAATAGCTAACCTCAGTGCTGTGGATGTAGGAGAAAATTGTACCTCTTTCTGTCCTGTCCATGGGTAGAGTGGAACTGGATTCAGTTATGCACCTACCCAGAACCTGGGAAAATGATGTCTGTGTTTGAATGTAATGCACCTTTTAAGAAGGGTGCAGGCTATTGCCGACCTGTACAAGTTGTGGATCTGGTCTGGGTTAACCAAGACACAGGCTGAGTCAAGCACCGGTGCACTACAGTGCTGCTTTCATAGCTCCAACTGCAACAGATGCTCAGCTGGCTATTTCCCCTTGAAATCCCAGTGGGATGGTTCTCTCCCTCGCTAGGAGGTTGTTGTGTGAGGTCCTCTCTCACGTAGCTTCACCAGTAATAAGGTGGCCAGGGGAATGATGCCACTAGGTCATGCCACTCTGTCCTGTGGGCAGCACTGAAGTTGCTTTGTGGAGGCTTTTTAAATGCAAACAAAGAATTACTAACCTTGAACTGGTGTCTTTAACGCCTTAACTAAAAGGTTGTGTACTAACACTTTATAAAATACATTTTTAAGCTGTGAAGCAAGGTCTGGAGGTTGTTTTGGAAGGTGTTGTAATATCAAATCTCAGTTGGATTGCTGCACTGAAATGATACACCAGACTTTCTTCTAACCTCTTTTACAGGAAGTATCCTGGTGGAGGGAGCCAGATTAAGCAGGAGCTACCTAAAAAGGTGAGTGTCTGTGCATTTTCCACCCACAGAGTGGATAAGATGCTTGTAAGGGTTTGATGTTTGAAGTTTTTTCTGCTATTTGAGTATAAATCATGGTATCATGACAGAGGATAAATACCTGTAACAGAATAATTCCAAGCTGAATGTTTTTTTAACATTTGTTTGAGATGACAAACTTGGAAAAGATTCCTATCTCTAAAGAAAACTAGTATTAAAGCAGATCTGAAGCTTTGACAAGTAATATTTTGGTCAGGAGGCCTTCATAGGAAATAGAATTTGGGTTCCTCAGAGGGGAATGTATTAGTATTGAGTTAGTATGAATAGTGACTGTACCTTTGTGGTTCAGAACAGCAGGTGTATAGCTATTCCTATGACTCAGTGTACTGAGCATCTTTGGATGTGAATGGAATATGACTCCTGTATTGCAAATAAGATATGGACCTGCACTGCAAAACCACCAAGGCTGAGCTGCAGATAGGTACTGAGGGCAGAGTTTCAATTGCAGTAGTACCAATGGCAAATTTCTCAAAGAAGGTGGCAAATTCCATACTTTCTTTTTTAGCAGGAAAATGTCCTGCTGGGGAGTGTCTGTGTGCCTTGGAGTCTAAGGGGAGGCCCCACCATACCTTAAATAGCTACAGGACAGGAAACTCCAAATGGAATTTCCTTGTAGATGCTTTGCTGTCAAACCTCAGCAGCAGTGTGTGTTGTCCTTGGTTGCACAGGGCAGGGTGTGAGGTCCCATGTACTGTCAGGTGTGATAGCAGAGTTGGCCAGCTGGTGTGGGAACCAGCGTCCACAGCCTTCTTCCTTCTTCCCTTTTTTATCTGGAAGTTACTCATCCAGCTGCTTCTGGAAAGCAAGCCAAGCCTGAATTAAATATCCGCGTTCAGATGCGGTACGAATCTCGATTTTCCTGAGCAGCCCCTTGAAGGAGGTATCTCGTCTCATGCAAGCAGGTGGAATTGTTCTTTGGGATTGTGAAACAGTTAGTGCTTACGGCAGGATAGCAGTACCCTCTAGGCGAGGAGACCGGTATTGCAGGAAAACTGGTCTCCATGGCAAAACTACACCTGCAGAGCAAATCTGCTACCAGGCAACACCCAGGGCTGCCACAATTATTATTTTTTCTCATTAAAAGGAAGCCTCAAGTAACTTGTAATTTACTGAACTATTACTCTGCTTGAGTGCTGATTACATTGCTTATGTAATAGAGATACAAGATTGTGTACTAGGAGGTATCTTTACTCCCTGAGTCTTTTAAATGAGTGTGAAATACAGCAGCCTTATGAAATGCAACCTGTTGTGCAGGGCTGCTGTCTGGCAGGAGCCACATCTTGCTGGTTGTGAGAAGCAGCTCTTACACCCTTTAAGTATATGCCATATACTACAGCAATCACAGCAGTGATTTCTCTGGAAAGCACTGTGTAACATGAGCTGCTGTCCCTGTAAGGGATGCAGAAGGATAGAGAAAAATCACTCAGTCCACCCTCTTGTTGTTCACTTCATGCTCCACTGCTTGAAAAATCACTCAGTCCACCCTCTTGTTCACTTCATGCTCCACTGCTCCTGTCTTCTTTACTCATCTCCCCTGCCAGTAGGCATCACTCTGCAAGCAGTACCAGCAGTTCCTATTTCCCTAGTGGCCATTACTCTAGCAATAATGTAGCAATAATGATGTTCCAACTGTTCTGCAAGATTTCAGTCCTTTGTGGAAAAGTGTCTCCGGGTGAGAAATCAGTGGGAATACAAACAAATACAGACACCAGCTAATCTGCCTTTAGTCAACAGCTGGTGCTTCAAACCTGAAGAGAGACTGAACTGATGGCCTTGCTGCAGGCAGCCTCAGCTGCCAGAGTAAAGTGGCTCTTGTGTAGCTGTGGCCACATGAAGCCAACACACCAAGCTTCTCTCCCGAGCTCTAAATAGCAATAGCTCTTGCTTAAACACAAGTTCAGTACATGGGTCTGGCTAGTTCAGAGGTACTGTACTTCCACCTACCAAAGCTGGTAAAAGCTCTTAAGTTTTGTCTTTAGGCCAGTTACTTCAATGTTTTGTTGTTGTCTGCTGTTCGTGCCTGACTGCCTCCATCGACTATGGATCTAGGAACTGGGCTGGGTCACCAAGGGAAGAGATGTGATGACAGTAACCCAAGGTGGCTTAGGCATATACAGCCAACTAGACTAAAATTCTCCTTAGCTGCAATTTTTATCTGTGGCTAGCATGTCATGATTTTATCACATCAACTGAACAAAACAGCCTCACAACTTCCCCAAAGCAGGCCAGGATGGCCTTTGTTAGGTGGTCAAAAACTCCACAACATGCCTAAGTGAAAGGTAGCATTTCAAGAATTGGCAGTGCACCTGCACATGTGCCTGGATGAACATCTAGAATGAGAGAGGAAGCAACATGAGTGTTATGTGACAACAAGTACTACACATCTCTAAAAACATGACAGATGTTATTAAGTCTTTCAACTCATACTTGTCTTTGTTTTTATGACCTTGCAGAGATACCCTCTGAAAGAGAGCAATATGGTTTCCCGCTACAAGAAGGAGTTCCTGGAAATAGAAAAAATTGGTGTGGGGGAATTTGGCTCTGTCTACAAGTGCATCAAACGCCTTGATGGATGTGTTTACGCCATCAAACGCTCCACGAGGCCTCTGGCAGGATCCTCGGATGAGTGAGTGTACTAGCTAGAGACTGCCAGTTGAAATGATGGGCATGTTCTTGAGAGGTGTGATGGGGAAGGAGGGAGTGTGGATCTAAAGGTATCTGAGGGGTGGCATGAGCAAACACTGGCTGCTGTTGTACTTCCAAGTAACAGTTGGAAGAGTGGGGGAAGATATCTCTGTACAACTATTGGAGATAAATGTCTAAGAAAGGAAAGAGTCATGTGCATTGCAAAGTGAGATGACTGCTTACCTGGCTCCTTGAGAGTTTCTTTAAAATAATAACTGTCAAGCAGTTCATCTGGGGTATGTCTCTGCCCTGCTGTATGATCAGCACTGCTCACATCTGTATTCACCAGCTTGTGATGTCCTGTGTGCTAAAGCAAAGCCTTTGAAGCTGCCATTGCTTTTGCCTCTTTAACAAAAGACTTGCTCAGTGATTACTTTTTTTTGACAGCTTCTCAGTGTAGCAAGGGCAGATTTTGCTTCAGCACTTGTGAGAACCGGTCTGTTTGTCAAAACCCAGAGAAAGGGAGAGCAGAGGTGTTTAGGACTTCCTCAAACCATGCTGCTAACCAGGGTTTCTCTCAGGGTCCCATGCAGAACCTTGGCACCCTGTCACCTCCTGCTTTTCCTGTGTGTGCTTCTCTAGGCAGCTGGCACTGCGCGAGGTTTATGCTCACGCTGTCCTTGGACACCACCCCCATGTTGTGCGCTACTACTCAGCCTGGGCGGAGGATGATCACATGATTATCCAAAATGAACACTGCAATGGTAAGAGCTGGGACAGTGGTACAGACTGAGATCTCAGCCTGGCTGCAGTTACCTCTTTTTGTACTCAAATATGGGATGATTTGGCTTGCAACAAAGCAAACTGCACCGGAGTTATACTTTCACGGGTCATCCAGTAAGGGCTCATAATATTTAGATGAAACTCTAATGGTGTCAATATATTAGAAGTAGTGAATACCCTGTAATTTATGAGATTTAAAAACTGTTCCGCTGTGTTGGCTGGCCTGGAAAAGTATTCCCTATACCAATGCTTAGAGCTGTGCCTAGAACTATCTAGGTAACACCTGATATGAGCGAGTCGTGAGCAGCTAAGGGCCATGTATCTTGGCAACAAACTCCTCTTAACAAAGGTGGGTAATGATTGGAAGAGTGGCTACATGGTTGAGATGAAGGCACCTTGTATCTTGGCTAGAAGAAAGGGGTTGACAGCTGCACAGGAATGGATCTAAACAATGAGGCAAAGTGTAAATGGGGTGCTGCAAAGCATGGTGGTGCACTCCTACTGGATTTTGGCCTCACCACTGTTTGAGAGACACTCGAAAACACATCTCTGACTAGCAGAGATGCTGAAGGCAATATGTAGTGCTCATCTTTCAACTGCTCCTGCAGTCGTGGGCCTCCATGAGGAGTGGCAATTGCTCTTTGGAGTGATGCTTTCAAATCTGCTGGAGGCAACCATGAAATGTAGTGATCATTGCTGCAGCATTGATTTATTTCTGGTGTTCTAATGAATGAACGTCTGAGACTAAAGGAGAAATAGTGGAAAGTAGGTTGATGAGAAGAGAGGCATGCTATTTGCTAGC